AGAGAGAGAGAGAGAGAGAGAGAGAGCCCAAAAGGGAATTTAGATGACAAAGTTGGATTTGTTTATCTATTATTATATATTTTGAATTGATGGGAACATAAAAATTGATATATTAATGTTATGTGAAAGACAGAAAGAATGGAAAAATTCAGCAGAGAAGGGCAGAGCATGAAAAGTAAAGGAGGGCCTATGGCTATGGGGAGAAAGAAAGGACAAGAAAAGTCATATATATTGGTCAAAGTCCATTTGTTTGAATTGTGTCAATTTCAGTGACGCCAAGTAGAGACAAGTCAAATTAAATTGATGCCGAGATGTAACGGTTCCGTTATGAGACTATTTTGTCCGAATTTGTAATGTTATATCAACTATCTCCGACGATTACATGATGATTTAACGATTACAAACCTCAACAGAATAATTTTGTAACGAGACAATATCATTTTTTGATAATATATGTTGACGGTGATCTCAAATTTTATTGGGGACTTCGTGGTAAGGTACCTCTCAGTTCCCCTGTTTTAAAATAGGCCATTGGATGGTGCAAATATACAATAAATGATATAAAAGCAATGATTTAAATTATTGTTTTAAATTACAAAAAAACTTGTTTGTATAATGTATCATTAATTTTATTTAGGGGTACATTATTAAGAAGGAAAACATGGAAAACGGTGGAATTCATTAAGGTACGTGCTTTTTTTTTTTTTATTATAAAATAATGAAATGGTAGAATGAGTATGTACAATGTTTTGGGTCTAATTTGTTTACATAATTGTAAATAGACTTGAGTCTTAAATGACATGGACAAAAATATTAAAAAGTAATGAAATTAACTCCAATGCAAATAAACTATGTCTCTACTGAGCAGTAATGCTAAGGAGCCAACAGTTGGCTCCGTTATGGAGCCAACAACCAATTGGATAACTCCATGTGGGGTTGTCCCACATTAAAGTATTGTGGGTCAGCCCCACCTGGAATTGTCTCATTGGTTGTTGGCTCCGTAACGGAGCCAACTGTTGGCTCTTTAGCATTATTGCTCTACTGAGTCTAAAATAGGCTCAAAAGTAGATCAAGTCTCATTTTTTTGTTGCCACATCAGCAGGATCTAGGCTAATTGCATTGGAGTAAATATTTTTCTAAACTAGTCTATTTTCTACGTGGCCTGTATATTTTTTTGAAAGAACCTAAAGCATTGTGGATGCTCTAAAAGTCTAATGATAAAATAAGGCTCAACTTTGATCATGAAATTCAAGACCTTGAGGGTGTCCAATTCATGGACCGTGGCCACCGAGAAGTCGGGATGAAATGTCCACTTCAGACACGTAGGAAACTTAGGTCGTTCAATCCCTATAAAAGGACGGTCTATATTAAGATCAGAGGAACGTTCTTCGCTGTGCTCTGAGAATTACTCTACATCTTTTTACCTAAAACCGTACACTAACTTAGGCATAAGAGGATATACCTTGGGTTGGACCAAAGACTCTTTTCTATAGGCGTTCTCATCACCTGAATTTGTTCTAAGGACGATATCAGTGTCATACAAAATTAAATCCTCAGCATCATGTAATTTTGGCATCATCAGTTGGCACCGTAAGTAGGGAACGACAACGTGGTATGAGGATTCATGGCGAAGCGAAGGAGAACGACTGAAAATAGATGTGGGATTTGACGTATGTCGCGATACAATCAACCCCAAGGGAGTTACGCGAATTCTCCGGCTAACTTTAACCAAGGTCAAAACTCTCAAGTTGCAACCATCTTGGAGAAAGATGCCCAACAATGAGACATTCTAATATTACACAACAACAGTTCATAACAGTTAGAATCAACTTTGTCTAGGGTGTGAACTATATTTATATATTACAGGGTACCGATGATATGATCTTCTGTTCAACACGATGAACCATATTATCTATAATGTAAAGTAAGAGTACTAGTTCGTATAATTAAACAAGAACGAAAACAAAATTGACTAAACATGCATATCATTTGAAATAGAATTGAGTTCGTAAAACGAACCCAAGCTGTTGATATGTGGATTGGAGATATGTGATCATGAAATAAAAATGGATTTTGCGGTAAGAATGGAGAATTGAGTTTGTAACATGCATTGACTAAACATGCATCTCATTTAAAACAGAATTGAGTTCGTAACACAAATCTAAGCTGCGCACGTGCCCCGTGCCCGTGTGCGCAGAGGACCGCGTGTATGCCGCACGTTAGAGTCTGTGCGTCGTGCCAGCAGTCCTGTGCGCGTCCTTACAGCCCAACGACGCACAGTGCCCGCGACCTAGTGCATTCTCGTGACCAGCACAACTAGTGAGCGCGCCTATTGCAGCGGACTCGAGCTAGGCAGCCGCAACTAGGTCGACCCGAGCGGCCACCAAGCCGAAAAGGGTCTGACCTTGCGCGGACCGGCCAGTTCAGTCCAATGAAAAATAGAAATTTTTCGAGCCTTATAATTTATCCGAGAACTCTAAACGAGCCTAGAAAAATCGAGAAGTTTAACAAAAGAGTTATATGTTTTATTTGTCTGTGTTTGTCTTAATTACTTGTTTTGTTTGCTTTGCTTATTTGTGCGGCTAAATCAATCTCAATCAAAACCATTAATAATATTTAAAATCTATAATTTGTAGATTAAGAGAAGTCGAGCCCTCACGCAGATTCACGAACATTTCACATCATCTGCATCTGAGGTGGATGTACTTAATTTACTATGTCTTACTCTTTGTAATCGCATGATCTTATGGTATGAAAAATGTATCTGAACTATTTGCCTGAGCGAAGGAATTAGTTAGTGCTCATGTCATTGAGCGTCTAGATGAACGACGAACCACGGTAAAAGTGTGTACACATGAGACGTCCGCCCGTCGTCGGTTGGGGAGCGACCCATGTTCCGATGAGCGAGACCAGATGAGACAGATGAGATGATTGTTAATCATGTCCATATCAATATTATACTATCTGTTATTATAATGAGTAATCACATAGTATTTCCCACGATGAGTTAGTTGTTTGTTCACTCCCATTATTATTTTTCTTTTCAGGTTAAATAGCTGACAACGTGTTGGAATATCACTTGTTAGTTGTCCCACATTAATTTTATAGGGTAAATGAGCCTAGTTTATAAGCCTAGTGAGTTACTCCTCCCATCACTAATTGGTTTTGGGATGAAATCTCACTAAGGTGTACTTAGGCTCACCATCTTATGGTGCGGTTCACTTCGTGGAACCGCACTCCCCCAATTCTTACATGGTATCAGAGCGGGCTTGTCCCAGGACTTGCAATGATTCTCTCTACCCGGTCTGCTCTGGGCTTGGGTTTATGAAGGACTCACAAGTGAAGGGGCGTGTTGGAATATCTTGTGAGTTGTCCCACATTAATTTTATAGGGTAAATGAGCTTAGTTTATAAGTCTAATGAGTTACTCATTCCATCACCAATTGGTTTTGGGATGAACCTCACTAAGATGTACCTAGGCTCACCGTCTTATGGTGCGCTTCACTTGGTGAGAACGCACTCCCCCAATTCTCACACAACGGGCATGAGGAGACGGTGGTGGTAGAACATTATGTTCATTACTTTATTTACTTCCGCAGTTTTTTCGAATTTATGTTATTTCGAATTTATGGATATTGAGACCACGACTGTGTGTTTTGAAGACTTTTGATGATTGAAAGATTTATGTCTCGATTATTGTTGAAGTAAATGTAGAAGTTTTGAAAGGGTTTTGCCTAAGAATTAAGAAGAGACTTAAGTTAAGAAAAGCATTTTGAGAAATAAAGTATTTTTGAATAGTGCTCGAGAAAAATGTTTTTGAAAAATTATAAATTATTTCTGAAAAATTATTACTTTCTAAAGAAAAATAAGCTGGTACTACGAAATACAATAAGAGGAATATAATAGATTGGATACTCTCTAAGACCGTTTATGATAATATTAAAGAATTTTAATCAAACACACCCTAAATGTTATCTTTTATAACAAATATAAATAAAACTTTGACATGTATTATTGCTTTCATATCTATATTTTATATAGGAAGTGTGATTCATCTTACAATTATTAACTACCTTCTTCAATTCTCAAGTTAGAATTAGAATTTGAAATGATGCAAACCCAAAAAATAAAATAATAAAAAATTGATGATTAGAATAAAAATTTGAAAATTTTATATATAATTTCGTTGTTCCAAATTCAACCGACTTTAATATCTCTATTATTTCGAAAAAAAAAAAAAAATCAACCGACCTTAATGAAAATCTAATAGAGCAATTAAAAAACGAGTGGCACATTTCAACCGTGTCCGGCTTAAAGGACGATCCCGGGATTCAGGCAGCTTCCGTGCTCTTACTTCTTCTGTGTCTCTCTTCAACAGCGTCTTCTTAACTGAAATACACAGGTCAAGCAAAAACCTTTCAACGGAAACCCTAATAAGGCAATTTTGTATTTCCGTGCGGATAAATCCTAATCCTGAGCCGCTCATCAACTCGTATATGTTGATTTGATTTGTATTTTCTCTAGAATCACAGTGTTTTGTGCAGATGGGGGCGGATGTCGAAGCCGCCGGGCTGAAGAAACTAGAGTACCTTTCTTTAGTTTCCAAAGTATGCTCGGAGCTGGAGACGCATCTAGGGTTTGGCGACAAGGTCCTGGCTGAATTCATCACGGAGATGGGTCGGAATTGCGACAACGTGGACGAATTTGACGCCAAATTGAAGGAGAACGGAGCCGAGATGCCGGATTACTTCGTCCGCACGCTCCTCACGATCATTCACGCGATTCTGCCGCCGAAAGAGAAGTTGAAATCGGAAAATGAGTTGAAAGAGGGGGCCAAATCCGCGTTTTCTGCTCTAAAAATCAAGGACGGAAAGGACAGGGTGAAAGAGCTGGAGAAGGAGATCGAAGATGAAGTGAGGAATCAGAGGAGATTGGAGGATGACGAGTATAACAAGTCCAGGGATAGGGACAGACGAGACCGAAGAAGAGATCGAGATAGGGAGAAGGGTGGAGAAAGGGGCAGATATGAAGATAGAGATGGGGAGAAGGGTGGAGAAAGGGGCAGGTATGAAGATAGGGAGGAGAGGGGCAGGCATGGGGATAGAGATGGCTATGGAAACGAGAAGGGAAGGCGAAGAGATGGTGACAGGGACAGGGATAGGGACAGGGACAGAGACAGAGACAGGGACAGGAATAGAGGCGAAAGGGATTGGAGGAACTCACACGAGCGAGAGAGGGAAAACTGGTCGGATGAGCCAGAATTGTACCAAGTTTACAAAGGAAGGGTTTCCCGGGTCATGGACAAGGGATGCTTTGTACAGCTTCAGGATTTCCGAGGAAAAGAGGGTCTTGTCCACGTGTCCCAGATTGCGACCCGTAGGATCTCGAATGCTAAGGACGTGGTCAAGAGGGATCAGGAGGTCTACGTGAAGATCATCTCTGCTAATGGGAACAACCTGAGCCTTTCGATGAGGGACGTGGACCAGAATACAGGTAAGGACCTCTTGCCCTTGAGGAAGAGTGACGTGGATGGGGACCGTGCTGTGGCCAACCCCTCGTCTAGAAACAGCAATGGTGAAGGAGGCACAGGGAGCAGGATTGGTCTGTCAGGAATCCGGATCACGGATGAGTACGATACCGGGCCCTCCCGGAGGCCTCTGAAGCGGATGAGTTCACCCGAGCGGTGGGAGGCCAAGCAGTTGATTGCTTCTGGCGTGATGAGCATGAAGGAGCTGCCAATGTTTGACGAGGAGGGTGATGGGGTTCTGTACCGGGAGGAAGGCGCGGAGGAGGAGCTGGAGGTCGAGCTGAATGAGGATGAGCCAGCCTTCCTGCAGGGACAGAGCAGGTACTCCATGGACATATCCCCCGTGAAGATATTCAAGAACCCAGAGGGTTCCCTGAGCCGTGCGGCTGCACTTCAGTCAGCCCTGATAAAGGAGAGGCGGGAAGTTAGGGAACAACAGCAGAGGACAATGCTGGATTCAATCCCCAAGGATCTGAATCGGCCGTGGGAGGATCCCATGCCCGAAACAGGCGAGAGGCATCTCGCTCAGGAACTGAGGGGCGTTGGGCTGTCAGCGTACGATATGCCTGAGTGGAAGAAGGACGCGTATGGGAAAGCCCTGACCTTCGGGCAGAGGTCAAAGCTTTCGATCCAGGAGCAGAGGCAGAGCCTGCCGATCTACAAGCTGAAGAAGGAGCTGATTCAGGCGTGCAACGATAACCAGGTGCTGGTCGTCATTGGCGAGACCGGGTCAGGAAAGACAACCCAGGTGACGCAGTACCTGGCGGAGGCGGGCTACACGACCAGGGGCAAGATTGGGTGTACGCAACCCCGTAGGGTGGCAGCCATGTCTGTGGCGAAGAGGGTGGCTGAGGAATTTGGCTGCCGCCTGGGGGAGGAGGTAGGGTACGCTATTCGATTCGAGGACTGCACAAGCCCGGAGACCGCGATCAAGTACATGACGGATGGTATGCTCCTGAGGGAGATTCTGGTCGACGAGGACTTGTCACAGTACTCGGTGATAATGCTGGATGAGGCTCACGAGAGGACGATCCACACTGATGTCCTTTTTGGACTGCTGAAGCAGCTTGTGAAGAGGAGGCCCGACCTTCATCTGATTGTCACATCAGCAACTCTGGATGCAGAGAAGTTTTCTGGGTACTTCTTCAACTGCAACATATTTACTATTCCAGGAAGGACTTTCCCTGTGGAGATACTCTACACCAAGCAGCCGGAGAGTGACTACCTGGATGCATCACTGATTACTGTTATGCAGATCCACTTGACTGAACCCGAAGGTGATATACTTCTGTTCTTGACCGGTCAGGAGGAGATTGATTATGCGTGTCAGTGTCTGTATGAGAGGATGAAGGGTCTTGGTGGAAATGTGCCGGAGCTGATTATTTTACCTGTGTATAGTGCTCTGCCTAGTGAAATGCAGTCCAGGATTTTTGATCCAGCGCCTCCGGGAAAGAGAAAAGTGGTGGTCGCCACCAATATTGCCGAGGCTTCTTTGACTATCGATGGCATATTCTATGTTATTGATCCGGGTTTCGCTAAACAGAATGTATACAACCCAAAGCTGGGTCTCGACTCGCTCGTGATAACCCCCATATCGCAAGCGTCAGCCAAGCAGAGGGCGGGTAGAGCGGGACGTACTGGGCCTGGAAAGTGCTACCGCCTTTACACAGAAAGTGCATTCCACAATGAGATGTTGCCCACTTCGATTCCAGAGATACAGAGGATTAATCTCGCGATGACTACTCTTAATTTGAAAGCTATGGGAATTAATGATCTTTTGTCTTTTGACTTTATGGATCCTCCTGCAGCTCAGGCCCTCATTTCTGCTATGGAACAGCTGTACAGTTTGGGGGCTCTGGATGAAGAGGGGTTGCTCACTAAATTGGGTAGGAAAATGGCCGAGTTTCCTTTGGATCCTCCACTGTCCAAAATGCTTCTGGCCAGCGTGGACCTCGGCTGCAGTGATGAGATTTTGACCATCATTGCTATGATCACAACCGGTAATATCTTCTATCGACCGAGGGAAAAACAGGCTCAGGCAGATCAGAAGAGGGCAAAGTTTTTCCAGCCAGAAGGCGACCATTTGACTCTACTTGCTGTGTATGAAGCATGGAAGGCAAAGAATTTTTCGGGCCCGTGGTGTTTCGAGAATTTTGTTCAGTCTCGTTCGTTGAGGAGGGCACAGGATGTTAGGAAACAACTTCTCTCCATCATGGACAAGTAAGCAAGATTTGTTTTCCTTTTTGATGTTCTGCATAGCTTCATTGTTTTGCTGATTTGAAATTATTGCTGGTTCAACTTGATTTGATGTAATTATCTTAATATCTGTTGCTTTCCGTTGGTTCTATGTATGTAATGCTCCTCAAAGTTTAGGACTTTGATGTGCTTATGTGGACTATTCAAATTCTTTTGATAGGCTTCCCTGGTAAAATATGCTTGGTGAATGGTGAAACTTTCTGATATGCTAGCCTTGCTAGGCATTATTGTTAAATGCAGATCAAATTTTATATAATTTATCTTTGTGGCCATTCTGATTCTTAGAACTACTAGCTGTAGGTTTCTACATGTAACTTCTTTGCCTTGTTAGTTGTTATGTGCTGAAAATCTCAGTCAATGGCTTTCTGTTTAAGGGAATGATTTGCTTATTTCTCTGCATTAGTATTAGTATTAGAAGGTAAATTTTCAGTCGTAAAATTGATGGCTTTAGGTGAATGGACTTAATACCATGTGAACATCTCGTCTTTTGAAATGCTGAATCCATTGGGTTGTAATGTTACCTATATATCTTTGACAGTGAAGAGATTCCTAACATCTGTTGTACCAACAGGTACAAGCTAGACGTCGTGAGTGCTGGCAAGAACTTTCAGAAGATCCGCAAAGCCATAGCTGCTGGCTTCTTTTACCATGCCGCTAGGAAGGACCCACAAGAAGGCTATAGGACACTGGTCGAGAACCAGGTGGTTTATATTCATCCAAGCAGTGCCTTGTTCCAGAGACAGCCGGACTGGGTTATCTATCACGAGCTGGTCATGACAACTAAGGAGTATATGCGTGAGGTGACTGTAATAGATCCTAAGTGGCTTGTTGAGCTGGCACCGAGGTTCTTCAAGGTGTCTGATCCTACAAAAATGAGCAAGCGAAAGAGGCAGGAGAGAATTGAGCCGCTATATGATAGATATCACGAACCGAATTCTTGGCGTTTGAGCAAAAGGCGTGCTTGAAGTCTTCTTCTCTTGCATGGTATTTGCTGATTTTGCTTTTCTAGCCAAGTATGAAATGTTCTGGTTTCAGATATAATTATCGACACTTCACTATGTGTACTGAACAAGCTGATTTTGTATTGCAGCATGCCTGCGAGTTTGTTTGATAGATTGTGATAACCATTTCATTTAAGATTCCTGCTTCTGTGCTTTGAATTGAAAATTTGTAATAGGTGTTGGGGAAAAAATTGAGGGGAAGATCGAATTTGTTCTATTTTAGTTGGAAAGCAATTAAAAGCACAGTTACTTCTGCTGCTACCTAAAAGCAAGGTTTCGAAAATCATCAAACCTGTTAAGTCAATTATTTTACCGGTCGGAGTTCGGACCACTCGAACTCGACCGGTATTTAATTTATTATATTTCTAATCGACCGGTATTTAATTTATTATATTTCTAATATATATAATGTGGGAATTTGGAGTTACGAAGGTGTAGCTGGGATACATATTGTGTTTTTTGTTTTATGCTTTTTCTGGGATGCATATTGTGTTTTTTTGATTTATGCTTTTCCGCAGCTTTGGCATGGGTTTATTGTGTTTTGATATTAAATTATCTATAAACATCTTTTATTTTTTATTTTTTATAATTTGAAACATTGAATTGTCATAGCTGATTGATATTTAATAATTTACACATGTGCAAAATATTTAAATATGCATTTTATTATATTAAAATATATTTTAGAAACATTAAACCTAGTTTTATAAGCAACATAAGAAAATAATAAAACAAGAACTGGTCCAACTATCGGTTTTTGAATGGTTCTTTTGCGACTGGTTTTTTCAAGAGAATTAGACCAGTTAGGATGTGATTGGTAGTAGTATTACTGTGTGCCGTGACACACCTAGCAAGGTGTGCCAGTGCAGAAATTTACGCGCGGGCCAAGGTTAATAAAAGTGGAATTCGAAATTATTTGCTATCTTAAAGTACATGCGCGTATTTTATGGTAAAAATTGAATTAGTGACTATTTATTTCATGATTTTTTAATCTCACTATTTATTACGAAATTTTAAATCAACATATTCATCGTGTTAATAATACATGATCATCTTATAATTTAACATATTCAGTTGATAATAAAACATATTCATCTTATAAGTTGACATGTTCATTTTACAAAAAAACATATTTATCATGTTAAGAAACATATTACGTACAAAATCAACATATACATCTTGTACAAAATCAACATATTCATCGTGTTAATAAACATGTTCATTTGAGAAAGCACATGTTCATCTGATAACAAAAAATGTTCATAGATAACCACGAGTTTACCTGCACATTTTTACCCTTTTACCTTTCCTCTTACCTACTATGCGCGTGGTTAGGACAAAAATAGAAATGAATTCACGCGCTTATTTAAAAAGTGTTTTTCATCTAACGCCATGGCACACCTAGCAAGGTGTGCCTGGTTTTCGCGTGATTGAATATGGATCATAAGCGATTTTAATTGGGTTTGACCGATCATTTATTTTGTTTCAATCACCATACTCAGATCGTGATTGAATATGGATCATAATCAGTTTTAATCGGTTTTGATTGATCAAGTTATTTTATTTCCAATCACAACACTTAAAATTTAACTCAGGTAAACTCCTTATTTTTTATAAATATAACTAAAGAATGTCAATCAATCAATGCAATATACAACAACTTTAACTCACTATTCATCAACTCATATAATTTTTTTATATTTATTACCTTTAATAACTTCTCTCATGCTTTTACATTACATCAAATTTAATCATTCATTTTAAATATTCTTTAATCACAAAATCCAAATTACCCACTTAACCAACTTTATTCAAAACAATTCACTTTAACCAACTAAATTGGATCATAACTGCTTGGATTCATATTCAATCACGCCCTTAAAATCAAACTCTACCAAATTCTCATACTTTTATAAATATCTTGAATAATACCAATCAATCATTCTCACACGTCGCATCAATTTTAATTTAGGGATTTTTTCAATACAATATCCGAAAAATGGGTAAACTATCAATTCAGGGCCTGAAAGATTTTTTTTTCTCAATTCGGGACTAATGTTATAAAACTATTAAATTAAGTTTAGAATTAACAAAACTCATAATACCATTAAATTAAGAGTTTAAAGAAAAAAAGAAAAATAAAAGATTGTCAGCTTACTCACATAAAATAATACGTAAACTTTAGTGTAATATTAAAAAAAAAAGAAATGGACGATAGCAAGAAAACCGAGCAAGAACTTCATACTTTCCTTAATTTTCTCCAACGATCTCGTATTTTCCTTAATTTTCTTCATTTTCTTTTTCTACTTTGTAACAAATTTGTAGTTTTAAGACTTCAAATTAACTCTCAATTTAATGGTGTTATGAGTTTTTGTTAATTCTATGACTTAATTTGATAGTTTTATAACATTTAGGACCCGAATTGAGGAAAAAAATCTTTTAAGTCTCGAATTGATTGTTTACCCATCTTTCAGACATATATTGAAAAATCTCCTTTAATTTACTATTCATACACCCACACGTAATTTTAATCATTTATTACTTTTAATAACATTTCTCATACTTTTAAGTCACATCAAATTTAATTATTATATTTTAAAACTCAAATTGTCCACTCACTCAATTATATGAAAAATAATTCAATTTAACCAACATAAATAAACTTTAACTAAAGCCACATATGACACATGATTTATGGCGGGCCGCCATATAATTTCTGTAGATTCGTAGATAATAGATAATTCAGTTTTCATTATTCACAAATTACAGCCAGATATGTTGATTTCTTTGCATATAATGCCCACGAATTTGTCAATTCAAAAAAGCAATCGATTTTCTAATTCTCAAAGCCTCGCCTGTTCTTCATCTTTCTCACGCAACCGCAGCATCAAGCTCCAAACAATTCGCGCCGTATCTCAAATCCCAGGTGAGAAAATCTCCGCCGCTCCAATTTGATGTCTCGCGGTGCCAATTTTTGTTTAAAATGAACGCCAATGTAAAAGAATTAAAATGGTGTTGTTAAATGATCGATTTTTAGCATTCGATCTTCCTTTTTCTGCATCCCGTTACGGAACCATTCCGTCGGAGTTTGTAACCGTTAGATCTACTATCCCAACGGTTACATGATGATTTAACGGTTACAAATCCCGACGAAATGGTTTCGTAACGGGACCGTAGCATTTCCCCTTAATATGATAATATCAAAATCAGTACTTCCCTTTTGCAGTACAATTTTGTCTCAGTTGGAGTGAGAGCGAGTGAGTCGTAATAGCTGTTATGTTATTATAAGGGAATGTTCGCAACAGAAAAATCCTTGTCGCGGGCACAATTTGCAGTAGACTTGGTTGAAATGGTTAATAATTCGTGTCCGAACCTTGTAGATTGACCTATTTTTTTGTACTGCTTTTATACGTGAATCATAAATTGATATTCTCATGGTTTTAAGAAAATGAGGATTTCATTGTGTTTGTGGTCCTAATGAAGGAATATTATGTGTAAGGGAGAAGTGTGCCTACTTGGGATCACAATCTCGTGTACCAGAGTGTCAATGGTTTATAATATCTGCGAGTCCTGTTAGGATTTTGCTGGAAGTAAGTTTTTCTTGAGACAAAGTAACGGGTGTGGTTTACTTGATGATAATAAAGCGGTGTCTCGTTCTAGTACTTATGATATGTTATGAGCACCTTGGATCCAACATGAGCAATGGCAAATTTAGAACAGTATTTGAACATCTTATATAGATTCGAGGTTCGGTGGATCCTAAGGCTGCGAATTGTATTTTCCTTCTTCTTTTTCTTTTCTCAGAATTCTCAGAATTCATAGACCTGCAAGAATTTAGATTCAATATGTGCCTATCTTAAGTTGGGCATTCAAAAGTTATTATTTTTATTTTTTTTTTTAATTGTTTACTATTTCAGAATTATTATTTTTTTATTTATTTAGGTCTTTAAGCTGGATACATAATTTTTCTTGACATGCTACAAGAAAGACCTAATGATAGTCTGTATGTTCCTTACAATATTATGGCAGCTATGCAGCAGAAAATAACGATACTGAATAATCGTGGTGAAAAACTTGTTGGTGTATTGCATGAGTCTGGATCAACTAAAATTGTAGTTCTATGCCATGGTTTCAGATCCTCAAAGGTTGGTGAGATCCTCTTTTTTGGCTACTTGGACAGTATTTCTTTTTGCCCATTCATATACTTGTATGAAGTGTTATTTCTTTTTGCCTCATCAATAAAGCTAATGGAATTCTTGTCAGTTGGTTTTCTTACTCTACCGAGACAGATAATGATCATTTGAAATAAAACTTCTCTATTCTATATATGCTTCTGTTTTTTAATAAAGGTCATATTTTTTTAGAAAATATTATGTTACGAATTTTTATTACAAATATATATATATATATATATATATATATATATATATAAAGTATTGCCTTCACTTTACAGGAAATAAAATTAGAGTGAAAAGGTGAGGAAAACTGAGAAAACGGATGAATAAACATATATGAAGGTAGGTGTTTCTCTTAGAAGTTCTTTATATAAACTGATGAGAAGTTTGAGACTTTCAGTCTGTAATTTGTTGAATAATAGTTGTTTTTGAAACCAAATTAAGAAGCACAAATTGTGAGGTAGTGATGTTGTTACTCTTGATGGGACATATAACAATCATGTGACATCCTAAAGTACCCCTAGAAATTGGTCCTTTTTTTTCAAATCCTCCTATCCTAGATAGAAAGAAGGTTTTAACTAAGCCTTAGTACGACAGTAAGCTATCATGGTCTGCTATGTTTAACCTTAAATGAACTTTCATGTCTGAGAATCTTGTAGTAGGAGCAAAATATGATATGATATTTTACTTCTGACTAAATAAACTATCTGATGCGCACCATACAAATTTTGATTTCAATTTGAGATACCAAATTCGTTAAGTACGGTATGGATTGCAGTTATATCGCTTTCTGTGCAATAATATGTCTAAAGACAAAATTGGGACTTCCATTTCATCCAAAAAGTGAAGATTCCTTCTTTTTATCTTTAAGTTTTATGAAGTTCGCATGGACAGATTGTGTCCAAATCTATCCTAATAGAACTATGCTATTTGTTAATAGGGTAAAATATTGACCGCAACCTGTAATATACATTTTTTTAGACATGCAAATCATTATATTTTTCTTGGTAAAATGCATCCTGAACTTCATGAACATTCATAATTTGCAACTTCGCATACATCTTAGTTCGCAAAAATGGACACTTGTGGTGGTCAAGATGTAGCAGAAGTTGCAAACTATGAATGATCATGAATTCACATTGCAATTTACCAAGAAAAATATTTTAAGTTGCAAAGTCCAAAAACACGTATAGTACATGTTGTAAAAAAATGTTTGCTCCTTGGTAAACTCTCTCCTCTTAAATCCTTGCCCGTGTCACATAAAAAAAAAAAGTTCAGTTTCAGATAGACTTGGACTTATCAGCTTATTCAAGTATATAGGCTGTTGCGTTAACTTTCACATGACTTCTAGGCTTTCGAATTTTGATCCAGATCTAGGAACACTTCCAAATTTGATTCTGCTGACATAGGGTTTACTATCTCTATGGAGAACTAGCTCATTCGCATTGTAGTTCATTGTGCTGAAAGAATTTTAAAGGGCTATGAATAAAATAAGTGAACAACTGTATATATTTTCCATCATTCCAACATCATCAGTGAACTGTCTTTAACTGTTCATAAGTACCTTCTTATGTGCGTTTAGATGTATTTAGGTAAATGCCAAAAGTCTTAGCTTATGACTAGTCTGTTAGCTAATTGTGCTTGGTGTTTCGGTTTCAAATCTTCGAATTGTGCAGGAAAGCAACACCCTGGTCAACCTTACTGCTGCTCTAGAAAATGAAGGCATCAGTGTATTTCGCTTTGATTTTTCTGGAAATGGGTAAAGTTAGAACATGGGATGTGTACAAAAAAAAAAAGTGATTTTTACCATCATTTTACAAAATTGTACTTACCCTTTTTAAAATTATTAGGGGAAATTTTGTGTTTCTTTTTATCTTTCTGTATGCATGTTTATGGCATATTCAATGAATTGTACCAGATAGAAAATGAAAACTTGTGATAATTGAAACTGAAACAATCTATTTCAAGTTTTTTAAGCTATTTATCGGAACATGATCAAGGACCCACACATTACTACATTTTTCTTTTTTCGTATAATTTATGTACAATGTTAATGCACATCTTGTTGCAAGTATCATTTTCTTTTCTTTATTCTGGGTGAACTTTATATAGGTTTTTGATCTCCTTGCAACATCATTATCTAAATCATCTTTAGAGCATAAGAGAAGTGCTGCAATAATTTATGCTGTTTTATTACTATACACTTTGGTCACTAGATTTGCTGTTCCTTTTCTTTTCAATTTGATTTGAATTCTCAATTTGGAGAATTTAAGATGAGATGGTATTATAGTGCACAACTAAAATTCGGAAAATATTCATTTTCCATGTTTAACCAATAGCAATGCATATAATTCTTCGGAATAAACACAGTATGATGGCAGGAGTATTTAAGCTATAACGCTAAAGTATTGTTACTTTCATTTTTTGTCTCTATATTGCTCCCATATTAATTATATTTTCTTCCATCGTAAATATTTAGAGAGCCTTGTATCTATTTTTATTAATTCCGTGTTTCGATTTGCAGGGAAAGTGAGGGCTCTTTTATGTATGGTAACTACTCCAGTGAGGTTGAAGACTTAAGGGCTGTGATTGAATACTTCAACAGAGTCAACCGTTTTACAGTTGCTGCTATTGGGCACAGTAAAGGTACATACAAACCTGTATATAATTAACTGGAGAACTATTCATCGAGATACAAGTTGCCTACTGTAGAGGAACTTGTGGTCCCGGGTCCTTTCACGTACGAATGGGTATTAAATATTAATACTCAATGAAACAATGGCAATCATAGCTTACATTTATCATATATAGGAATCAGCGACTGGATTTTCCACTGAATACTATGCACTTAATTTCTTAAAAATTGAACTGTAACAGAAATTCTGAAGGTAGTTAATTGGAATTTTGCGTCCTCCAATCCGGCATTCCCTTTCGTTTGATTTTAATATCGCAACAGACTGGGTCTCTAAGGGTGTGATTGGATATGAATTTGATTGGTTTTTGATTGTTTTTTTTAATCAGTTAATTTTGAAAAAGGTGTATGGTTAGTTGTTAGTGAGTATATTAAAATAATATTTAAAATAAAATAAATAAATTCGAAAAATGATTGGAAGTGATGGTTAGCTAAAATTATGTGAGTTGATGAATAGTGAATTAAAATTGATGTGATGTGTAAGAATGGTTGGTTGATATTATGTAATTATATTGATAATATGGTGGATAAGAGCGCTTGGAGACTAGCAATCAACGTGCCAGAATCGTGACTTTTGCTCCAATCTCTTCCTTTTGTTTTTGAGCCATTTTTGTGTTTCTCTTACCATTGCTTCTCTTGGGTTTCATCTCTAGCCTACCCCAACTTGTTTGAGACTAAAAGGCTATGTTATTGTTGTTGTGTCGTGATAATATGGTGGATAGTGGAGTTGGTTGAAGTTGAGTTAAATTTGAGTTCTGATTGGTTTGTTTACTCCAGTCACCGTAATTATTCGTGTTCCCATATTTTTGCAGGTGGCAATGTAGTCCTTCTTTATGCATCCAAGTATCATGATATAGGTGCAGTAGTAAATGTCTCTGGCCGTTATGATCTCAAAAGAGGTATCAAGGAGCGCCTGGGAAAAGATTTCTTGGAGAGACTCGAGAAAGATGAATACATAGAAGTTAAAACTAAAGCAGGTAAAAACTTGCCAATTTTTTTGCTAAAGGATAATTACGGAACCTTCCCCAAGTTTTATCAAGAACCAAGGATGAAAAATTCTTAATTAATGCCCACTTTCTCCTCTTTTGGTAGGAGATTATAAAGTTACTGGAGAGAGTATGAGGGAGCGGCTCAGTACAAGCATGCATGACGAGTGCCATTCAATTGATGTTGGGTGCAGGTAACTAACTATGTGAATTGATTTTGCTCAAATAAAATCTGTTTCCTGTTATATTGCAATTTTCTTCTTGAGAAAAACTCGGGAATCACCTTTGTTTTGACCGAATATGATTGTTGCATTTCCTGGGTGAGGTTTTTCTGGATTTCATATTTTGGTGACACTAAATAAAACATTAGGTGTAAAACTTTTTGATCCAAATGTCGTGAAATTCTAGGCGATGTATCAAAATTTGGAGATGCATTTAGGTCGTTCGGCTATATTTTCCACTAAATTAGGAAAGTTCAATGCCCGAAATTTTTTCAGCCGTATCTTTTTTATCAAATATATTTAATGTATGTAGTTCAGTTACTAATTATTTGGTTTTTACTCTCATGTTGTACTTTAGTCTCTTACATAATTGGATCGAATTCCTTCCTCGCAAGTTTTATTAGCTATTAAACTAACCGTCCACATTTCTGGAGTACCTCGTCGTTCACAACATGTTGTGTACTACAGTAAATATAATTACAGCAAAAATAAGTTTGGTTTGTGAAGAAGCATATGTTTTATGCAGGGTGTTCACAGTTCATGGATCATTAGATGAAATTGTGCCAGTAGGAGATGCAATAGAGTTTTCCAAGATTATACCGAATCATCAGTTGCAGATTATTGATGGGGCTGACCATCGTTTTTCTTCACATGAGCATGAATTAGCTTCAGCTGTCTTGCACTTCGTAAAGGGATGCTTGCAATGAAATGATGCCTGCAGATTGGACACTTAAAACTTTGCTCAACAAACATGTCAATTATCAGCCGGACATTTTTATCTGTCGCTTGGAGGCACATTTTGCAACTGCCATGTAATTACATCATCAAATCTCCTGTGAAATTGTTTCGACGGCAAGAATGAGTACTTCGTTTTCAGAAAAAGTATCATTTTATTTTTTATTTTTTATTTTTTATTTTTTCACGAAAACGGAAAACTTCACTCGTTTCAACTGTAAGGTAGTTTGATATGAGGTTTACTGCAGTTTACATTCATAGTATGCTATCTGCCATTCGCATATAACCAACTGTTTTTAAACCACAAACATATCTTTAGGCACATAAATCGAATCGTTTATCAGCCATTACAACATCATTACAAAGAGAGAACGGCACTACACTCTAGTTATATTCAAAGCAGCTATCATCCCATGTTTTCATGTCTTTAGTTACACCATAAAAAAGGGAAATTTCGATGAATAAATACACTTGCATTTATCTTACATATGAATGCGATGGTACTTTACATCAGAATAACTCCCAATACATCATTTTCAAACACATATACCGGGCAAAACTTCACTACTACACCCACTCTTCTCGAAGATACGCGATATACTATACAAAGGTAAGTCACTAAGAGTACTTCACTGTCATTGAAGGATTATGGAAGGTGATCTCTGTTTGAATGCATAAACAACTGTCCTTCATAAGACAATCTTCATTTTTACATAGAAAGAAGCCGTAAAGCAAATCTTGGTAAATTATCATCAGGGCACTCGAGAGTTGAGGCTAATCCACTTATCTTCTAAATATAACAGATTTTCCCCTTTTGAATTTTCTGATTCGATGATGATCGCCCTCCTATGGAAACAGCCTCCTTGTATAATTACAAGGGTAAGGTCTGCGTACAACTGACCCCCCAGACCCCAACCTGTTGGGAATATACTGGGTATGTTGTTGTATGTTGTTGATGAATGATCGCCCTCTTGAGGAGGCGCTTTCGTGAGCAAGATAAAAAGTCATTAATCGTTAGTTAATATGTAAAGTTAAACAAAAGCTTTCTTCTTTTCTGGTAATTATAGTATTGGCAACTACGAGAATTAGAATGTGTCTAAGAGAGTTTAACTTCTCACCAGCTCCACATTTTCATTGTCATTGAAGTCGCTCAGTACCATTTCTTGAATCCAGATTCCCGGTACTGTCATCGTCAGTAGCCATCATTGCATCTTCCTAAAAATTAATCACCACAAAACTACTTCGTTTAATATAATTGTGAATTTGCGAAAAGAAAATGGATAAGTAATGTTTCTGAACCGCCAATAAACAAATAAAAATTTTTGGGATCATAGTAATTTTGATAAAAAGTAGCCATTTTTCGCAATTAAAGTTAAACCTCAAGTTAGTGCCTGCATTTGTCCCAAAAAAGAAAAAAAAAAAAGAAGGATGAAAATATCATACTAGTCCCTTCTTCAGCTTTTCAAGGTTTTCCTCGAGTTCCAAAACATGGTGCTTTAGCGCCTGCAGAAAAATTAAAGAGATTTCTTCACATGTTAAGTTGGTATTATTCAAAACTAAAGGCTCTCTTTAAGTCAATTTTAACGGGATGCAAAATATCATCACCTCACGTCTCTGAAGTTCGATAGAACGGGCTAATGCCTGCCTTTTTGTAAGAAGATTCTTCGGCCTGAATGCAAGTGGCCGCTGGTAATTCTTCCCACGGTAGACTATTATAACATGGCCTTTGTGAGTTCTTTCCACACACACCAACACCCCACCACTCTCCGCCTCGAGTGAGATAGCTATATGCTTCACTTGTGAAAGAGTTTTCCTTTCCACCATTATTTTCACCAGCTCCCGATACTTCCAGTGTAAGTGCATGTTCTCTATAGTACCATCAAATATCTCTCTCCTCCCTGAGAGCAAAATCGTAAAGAAAAAAAAATTGAGACGCTCCATATATATATGTTTTGCTATATTTGTACTTGTTTTCCTTTACCTAAATGCAGAAATGGTTTCATGCTCAACCCAATCTTACGAAACAGAAATCTTTCCTCGTCAGTCAACGTCTCGAGATCAGTAGGCAAATCCTCCGGTTCTTGATTCTCCAGAACTTTCTGCAACACCTTCTCAGCCCTACTAATCTTTCCCTTCGCCTGCGTGGGGTCATAATTGTAATTTAAATCAGCTGTGAAGTGAAACACTAGACAAAAACTCAAAACAGTAGAATCTCATTAAACCCGATGAAAAACACTTACAAGAGCCAGTTTCTTCTCAAGAGAGTTGACCAGTGAGGCATGCCTTGCGACAGCTGTATCTCTTTTCATTTTCTCGAGTGCAGCACTGTCGGGTTCACTTCCCCAACGTGAGGTCGCGGCCTTGGTCTCGCTGAGGGTGCCCGCAACTAACCGCTGCCTAGATTCTCTTGTCGGGTCGAGCAGTGACGAGGCTTTTTCCCGGGCTTGCTCTTCCTCGTCCTGTTGAAGAGCAGCGACTTTTTCGGCCTCGACAAGCGCGCTCGAGACGCGTGGAGGCAAGAAGTCATTGCCTCTGTAGAACACTATAAATTCTTTGTTCCTCGAAACTAGTGTCCCGCCGGTTAATATCTGCAGTAATATAACAAAATTGATTGCTTATTTGCTTTACCTTTCTTTGTTTGTGATTGATTTGTCTACACTGTCTAGAAATTAGTGGGGAAAGAATGAAAGAGTGGTAGCAACGGGTAAACAATCAAAATATTTTTTTTTTTTTTTTTTAGCTTCTTTTTAATTCATGGTAGAGATGCCGATGTTTCCTGATATTATAATTTTCTAGGAGCCAGGGAAATCGTAGGACCATCATTTTCCAATTCGATCAAGTAATGGCCAGTTTTCCTTTCCTTTTTTTTTTTTTTTTTTTGCCATAATAACACACATTATCTATTTATTCCCAACCTTGAGTTGTTCGGCCATCCTTTCATTTGACGTATTCAGAACACCACGCTTGATGGCTATTTTCGCAATAGCACTCTTTTCCCATAACTTCACCATGGCCATTGCCAGACCCTGTAGCTCTCTATTTCTTCCTAAAGTCATAACAGTATAAACAACCATTAGAGAAAAAAAAAAAACAAAAAAGAATGTATACATACATATAAATTAAAGTGAATCCTATAAGATTATGCAAAATAAGCTATCAAACATACCAAGGGCAAAATGGGGTGGTACCATCCTTGCTGTCCTTCGCAAAAAAGTCATCTCTTTATCTCGCAAAGCATGTCTAACCCCGTGAGGTAGAAGTCTAAACGGTGTCTTATACCCCGGAACTACAGTAGGCAGTAAGTCAGCATCCACAGGAATCGGTTCACGACCAGACCAATCTACGAACCTCGGGCCAAGCTCATCCAACATGCTGTTGAGCTCGTGTAAATCCATTTGCTCTTGTTTAGATAGATTGTTAACATAACTCAAATTACATATTCCAGATGATTTTGCAGCTCCATTTATACGTCCTGCTTTGTTGCTTTCGCAAAAATCTTCCCCAGCAGAACTTAATTCCTGATTATCAGCTTGAGCACGCTCACCATACGATTTTACACAATCGAGCTTGTAGGATGACCCTCTGTATAACACTACTAAACCTCCCGATCTGTATATCACTAAACCTCCAGTTCTACTCTGGCACACAACAGGCAACACACACAACATAATATAAGAAATACTCAACTGCTGATTCACATGATTTAGCCAACAAATTCCATAAAACTCGACAAAATCTTCAAGAACATACAGTAATATACAATCCACTGTGATATGCAAAACGAAAATTGATTTCTCATTAATATAAAAAAAAAAAAAAAACAAATATAATGTGGGACTTACCTCAAGAAATTCATGAGTTCGCTTCATGTTCTTCGAGGGAGGCCCTTCAAACTTCAACTTCACAACCTCTTCATGCTTCCACTTCTCTTGGATGGTGTCCACCAAAGTCTGAGTCACGCCGGCTGAACCGACTTTTATATGCTCAGCCATTCTTAATGACACATTCCTTAATCTCTTTAGCTCATGCTCGGGCATAACCCTCTCGGCCAACACCGTATTCCTATTTCTCAACTTGTCCTCCTTCACTCGCTCCACCTCATTTCTCCTCTCCCATGGCAATCGCTCTAATTTGTTTGTTCTAAAAGTTATCGATGAACCCTCCACCGCAGTAGCATTTTCACTCACCTTAGCGCCCAAGATCACATTTTTCTTCGGCGGACAAATTGGGGTTTCATTATAATCTCTCCCTCGACTGCCATCATTCCTCAAACTGTCAGAGCCTTGAACAACTCTAGCTGAAGGTTCTTGAGACACCTTTTTTCTCGATTCTTTTCCGTGGGCCCAAGGAGCCATGGTCGACTTGATTCTCGTGCGGGAGTTAACGGGCGGCTCGCTTACAGAACTAATGTGCCCACTTCCTCTGTCGGAAGAGGAAACATCGGAGGGCGAAAGTGAGGTCGGCGGCGGCTGAGATTCTCGACTCGCGTCGCTGATTTTTTGCTGCTGCCATGGGAACGTTTGTCTCAAAGAAGGGGTCTTTACGGACCATTTGCTCTGAACTTGCTCCACGAAGCTTGGCCTGGGCTTGGGTTTCTTTTTCGCTGAATTGGTCTTCACATCGAGTTCGAATGTTTGCTGACAGCAAATAATTTTGAGCTTTTTAGGTCTGAAGCATTTGAGAGGATGCGTTTGCAGGTGGAAACTGAGAAGGAAGAGAGATGATGGCGGAGGGCTCGCTCTTGGCGAAGGATTTAGGAAATTCGAAGGAATCGGAGAGAAGGCCGTCATAGCCTTGAGGTTTATGGAGGATTGGGAAGAATATCTATGAGTGGCCTTATCAAAGACGTTCAATATTCGGAAACATTCAATGAGATGGCTTGGGTCTCTTCCAGCTTAACTAGTGGTCTCGTGTTCGAGCCCTGGGAATGCAGCAGTGTTAAAACTCTTCAGGGAGAGCTTTACCGCCTTTATGGTCCTACCCGGCTCGATTCCGGATTAGTCGGTTCCCCCGTGGATCCGGAGCAGCAGTGTTAAAACTCTTGAGGAAGAGCTTTGCGCCCTTGTGGTCCTACCCGACTCCATTCTAGATTAGTCGGTTCCCCCGTGGATCTGGAAACGGAAGGTCCTGTACCAAAAAAATATACGGAAACAAAAAGAAATTAATATCTCAAACATTTGAGCTTGTTAAGTTTATCATATAATAAAAAGGGAAATGCTATGTCCTGTTACGGTATCATCCTGTCAGGTGTTTTAACCGTTGAATTATCTATCTTGTACTAATACATGTGTATCCAACAATTAAAATTCCCGACATGATAGTACCGTAACGGGACCGTGACATTTCCCTGTAAAAAAACCTCAATCCTCTCATGTCCCCAAATTCCTAAGTGAGTTGTGCGAGGTTATTTTTTCTTTTTGATTGTAGTGGTATTAGGGATGGCAGCGGTTCGGTTTCGGTTCGGATATCCGCGGTTTTTGGTTCTGCGGCTTTCGGTTTTGGTTCTCAAATTTCACCCACGGTTTTGCGGTTTCGGGTACCTGAAAGTCTTCGGTTTTGGTGCGGATCCTATATTTCGCCCGTGGTGCTCCGTTGGGTGCCCAAAATAGACGGCCCATCAAAAAGCCCACCAAAAACCCTAGCTATATAAGTGGAAATTTCTTCTCCCTCTTATCCTCTCCCCGTCTCCCGTGATGACTTGGCTTAGCTATGTACTCTACTACCTTTATGGCTTGTACTGTACGTTGGTACTTGCTAATTTGTGACTGGTTGCCTGGTACTCTCTAAGTTATCATGTTTTATGTTGTTGTCTTTGGTGTTTTATTATAATATTTTTGGTTTTTTGGGTATCCGTTTGGTTTTTTGGGTATCCGCGTATTTTGGTTTTGGTGAAGGATTTTCACCCGAAACAGTTTTGGTTTTGGTTTTGGTTTTTAAGTTTGGGTTTTGGTTTTGGGTGCCCTGAGGTTCCATCCGATCCGAACTCGAACCGCTGCCATCCTTAAGTGGTATATGGTATTTATGCTCCATTTGGGATGTCTTTTCATCTGGGTTATTTAGCTACCGATTTTGGCTGCTTTGGTCTTTCTCTGTGTTGTAATTATATGTGTTATTTTTGTAATAATATATAGAATAATAGGATTCTCGCACATATTATTATGTTTATATTGTCCTTATATTATTGTAACATGATTCATATTTCAAATTTCCATCAAGAATTTATTGATTTTGACTAATATACATACTTTTCTGTTCGGTAGTTTCTGCAGGAATGCTATTTGCACTACAAAAAATGTCATATTTAACGAAAAATCCTACGATAATATATTCTAATAGATATTCCAATGGTATGTATAACTTCCGTTGAAATGATTCCAAACAAAATGTCCAACGAAATTATTTTGTTGGAATAAGATCTCCATTGGAATTTGGATCAAATTTGATTATACTAACGGCTATTATTCCAACGGCTTCTTACTGTAAGAACTTCTGTTAGTTGGAATTTTCGTTAGAATCAATTGGAAAGAAATAACAACATGTGAATGTCCATTGGAATTTCATTGGAATATATTTCCTTTGTCCATTGGAATTTTCATCACATTTTTGTAGTGTTATACATATGAATTTCCAAATCACAGCCAATTTACTTTATTTTCATTAATCTTTCAAATGATATTACGGGTGAAATAGAAATTTATGGCATCCAATGACCAGAGCCTCAAGGGTGGAACCAATATTTATTTTACCCGAATCCAATTTTATTGTTGTTTCAGTCTTTTGCAGACTGAACAATTAAATTTAAAATTATAAAAATTAAATTGCCAATAAAAAATTCATCCAAATATTTTTCATTAGCAATTTAAGTCTTATATAATTTAAAATTTTGTTGCAATTTCAGTCCTCAAAAGACTGAAATTACATTAAATTTTTTAATCATAGGGTCTAATAGAGATGTTAAACGGGCTAGCCCTAGCGGTTACGGGCTAGTCCTAGCGGGCTTCGGGTTAAACGGTCCGGGCCTAAAAAGCCCGGATTTAAACGGGCTACCAATAAAAGAACCTAACCCTAACCCTAGCGGGCTTCGGGCTAAACGGGCTAAGCGGGCTTGAATAATAATATTAATAATAGTAGTAATAATAATAATAATAATAATAATAATAACAATAATAATAATAATAATAATAATAATAATGTATCAAAAAATATAAAAAATAAAAGGAAAAAATACAAAAAATTACAACGACTAATTAACGATTGTTTTCAACGGTATTTAGTATTTGCCGCTCTATATACACAACTACACATCATATATGAACACATACTACAAACTCTTAAATAATATTTTTTTTTCAAAAGAAAAAGATATTCGAATTATTACATACAATTACCATTTCACTACTTATTTTGTACGCTTTGAAAATTTTTACGATATTATATCACTATAAATTCTATCACTATGTTTCATGTGTTAGGTCTTTGTCTAATTTGTTTCCTATTAGTCGTTCTGATTGAGTTAAATATTTTGGTTTGGAGTAAAATAAGAATATTGTTAATAATTATCTTTCAAAATCAATATAATCCGTTACAACTCATACTTATATGTGAAGTGGAATAGCAAAATTGTAATATAGATTGAATATAAGAGCATATTACTTACTTGCTGCAAAGATTTACAACGCCCAACTCAAGTTAAACGGGCCAGCCCTAGCGGGTTTCGGGCTAGCCCTAACGGGCTTCGGTTTAAACGGTCCGGGCCTAAAAAGCCCTGATTTAAACGGGCTACCAATAAAAAGCCCTAACCCTGTTTTTTTCCGGGCTAAACAGGCCGGCCCGTCGGGCCAAGGACCATTTAACATCTCTAGGGTCTAATAACAAAATGTTCAAATCTTATGAATTAACACGCTACTAGATCAAATCAACAGGATTAAAATTGTAATTTTGTCAAGAAACCGCAAGAAATACAATCATAAATAGGAAACATAGGTCCATAACACAAGCCCAATCTAATTTTAATCATCATATAACAATGAGATAAAATATAATATAGTAAGTAAAATAAAATATTGTTCCGACACGATACTTATTGCTTTACTCTAACTTGAGAAGCAGTGGCAAGCCATAACGAAAACGTTGAATATATCAAACATAAACTATTAATTAAAAATCTTCTGTCCTGGAGACAGTATCATATTTGGATCAAACAATTCTTTCCTCTTCACAAAGGTTTCCCATTTGGCCTGACCAAAATGGTTTATCCAGTCTTCCTGCGTCGTGTAGTGAGGAAGATATTGCTTGATCTTGATGTCCGATTCTTCACATACACGAAGAATTTCATTGTTGAAAGCATCGATGCTTTTATATGCATTCTTCGGAATCGAATGTAAAAGTCCCAGGCCGTAGAAAATGTCCCCTTCGGGTGTTACTGCAGACATACTATCATTCCATCTGCACAAATGTTAAAAATATATATTATGATATATATTTTAGAATGACACTTGTTAATTAATATTGCGCAAATTGCACGTGTTACATTAAAATATTTATTACTTTAGTAAAAAAAAAATTCTTACTTGTTTTTCTTTAGTGGGAAGAACATGAAGTTCCCTGATGTCTGGTTGAGCCTAGGAAGCATGCCGGTCACAACGAGCTTATTGAACTCGACAATGTCGGATTTCGGTATGAAGAGAGCAAGATATGGATGAGATAGCTGTGATCCTATCTGTAGAGTATCTAAGTTTCCAAGTCTGTGTAGAAAATCAAAAAATAACACATCTGTATTGAAGTTGAGTCCAGGGATGAAGTTCAACTCCTTGAGCAATGTCTCGAATTTCTGGAAAAAAAAATAAAATAAAATTAAAAGATTGAAAATTGATAGTTGTATGTAGTATTATTTATTCATAAATAAATTAAATACCTGATCAATAGTATTAGAATCAGTTTGATTGTCATAAAACACTGCCAACTCTATTGCAAAAAGGAGGCTATGATTGGTCAACAAGTCAACAATCCGGGTGCGATCGGACTGTGATATTGATAAGGCGGGCTTCCATTGATCGATAACACTCACATTCACAATCACATAGCCTTCAACATAGTTGGCGTCGCTGCCCGAGATGAGGTGTTCTTGATCGTTTATGAACGTCGAGAAATTGCTATAAACCAATTTTGCCCACTTTACCTGAGGAGAAATAACAAGTCGAATGCCTACACGGGTTAGTCCCGATCGATTTCTTATCATGCTTGCATGAATTTTACCTTTGCGCTTGAAGGTTTATAACATAATCGAGTACTAGTTAGTAATATTTATACAATGATGTACTGCTTTCTTTGAGATATATATACGTACATTTGTTGGTGCTTTGTCTAGGACGATTCTTGCTCTGGTTATGATGCCGAACTGGCCAAGACCACCCAAAACCGCGAGAAATAGCTCGGGGTTTTCGTTTGGTGAACAAGTGAGGTTTTCCCCTTTACCTGTAAGGAAAAAAAAACAAGCTTTATAAACATAGCTAATAATTTAAGAAAACCATTTAATAATTTTTCCCTACTGTTTTGTGTTTCATGTATAACCATAGTCAATAATTTAGGAAAACCAAGAATTTTAAAATCATGCATTTTAAAAATGGATACAAATCTTGATACAACTAAACTACTGGGTACACAAAACTGAAAATATTTCATGTGTTTCCACAATATTTTTTTCTCACAATTAAACTCCTGGATAAAGAGCTTGATTCATTTTAAATATGTATAATTTAAATTATTTTATATAATCATTAACAATAGATGAAGATGTCATTTAATGAGATTTTGCATTATCTCAAAAAATCGAGATTTGTTAACAAATCTCTATTAGAAAACCCAGTGTTCTAAGCGATGTAGGTCAGTGCTCGACCAGCGCCTAGCGCCTAGGCGGGGACAATAAATCAATATTAAATACCTCAATTTTTTATTTATTTATTTTAACTACCTATAAAATAAAATTATCTCAACTTATGATAAATCAACATACCTAAGTCCAAATAATGAAATTATTATATTTTAAAAGAAATATGATAACAAAATAATGTAATTAGTATTTAAAAAAAAAAAAACTGAAAAATTGCTTCCGAGCCCGCCTAGGAGGACACCTAACTTTCCAAAACTTATTTTGTTAATTAAGGCAAAAAAGTTACATTTTATATTAACTGAGTAATAATTATATTTTTTATTGTATCATTTTAAAATAGTTATTATTAAAATTAATAAGTATATTTTACAGTAAATGATATATGAAAATTACTTAAACATAAAAATTATATTGTAAAACCTTTTGTTCAAGTCATTTATTGTAAAATTAATATTATATTATTTTATCTGATTAAGTGATTATTTTTTTAAATAATTTAATTTGTTTTAGTGTCATATAATAAAATCCCTTAAGATCGCATAAGCAATTGCTATAAAAATTTAATATTTTTTAGCAAGTTAATTGGTCATGATCTCTCAAATCATAAACATTTTATTATTTATTGGACTTTATGCAATAAAATAGTTACGTACTATTTAGTTTGACAAATGATAAAATTTTAAAACATAATATCATTATGTAACTTATAATTTTCATATTATACCCATAAATATAATTTGTAATAATCTATGTTTAAAATTTAATACCATTATCTAACTTATAATTTTAATATTATATGCATATCAATAACTTAAACACTTTATTTATACATGTGCAAATGCAAAAGATCGAATACTAGTTTATATAATAAAAATTTCTACATTCAATTATTTTAAACATATTGACATTCTTTTTTATTTTTAATAAATTTTATTATTAATTAAAATTTATTTATATATTATTTATATTATAATAACAAATTTGATTACTACTTATTAAAACCGGTAAAACAAGCTGTAAAATCGAAGACTTATTTATAACTGCTATATTTATTATCAGTTTTTCATATATATAATATATTATATTAACTACTTTTTCACAATGTTCGATTTCATATCCATATTGCATATATATACAATAAATAAAGAATGAAGTATTGAGAGAGTTATAAGCTTTGGTAATTACCTGTAATAACCTGAAGTTGAAGAACATTGGCAATCTGGGGGCCACGCAAGGACGCGCGCCCGCTAATCCCCGCATTCGAGAGTGTCCCCCCTACGCTCAGGTACAGATAATCGGTCCACGAGACCGGCGCCAACCCTTGCCTGAGCGTTGCACGTAGCACGTCCACCCACAACTGCTCTGCCCCAATGTCCGCATAAAACCCGCACGAAAGATTGCCACCAATCACTATCCTATCCCCCTTATTCTCACCGAGCGCGGTCATGTTGACCACCACGCCGCCCGAGGTCAATGCCTGCCCCCTGACCGAGTGTCCGTGCCCTCGAGCAGCGACTGTCGAGGGTCGTGATGTCGATTTGACGAGGTCGATGATGTCAGCGTCTGACGAAGGATAGAGTACGAAAGCTGGGGTTTCGTGCTCCATGTTTCCATAGTCGCTAGAAGCTATTGCGATGGACGAGTTGTCGTTACGGAGCTTGCATTCGCCGGAAACTAGGGAGATGATGATGATGATGCAGAGTAAGAACACAAAAAAGTGTGGAGGGTTAGCATAATATTGGGGGATTGCCATGGATTGGAGAGAGATTTAATTTGTGGTTACAATGAATGATTTGTTAGATGAGTGATTGTTTGTGGGTGTTATGAGGGGTTATATATAGCTACAATAATACAATATTGGTACTCTTGGATTAGCAAATTTAAGTATGAACATTGGAATTTAAAAAAGAGATTATTTACCCTTTTGACTGATCAAGGTGAATAGATGTTGATAATAAGGTATGCTACCAAAGAGCGCTTGGATGAGATGACTTGAGTCTCTTTCAGCTTAACCAGTGGTCTCGTGTTCGAGTCCTGAGATTGCAGCAGTGTTAAAAACTCTTGAGGGAAAGCTTTGCCACCCTTGTGGTCCTACCCGGCTCGATTACAAATTAGTCGGTTCCCCTGTATATTCGGAAACCGGAAGGTCCCTGTACAAAAAATAAAATAAAATAAAATAAGGCATGGTTGTTTTATTTCCATTTTAATAATCACGATCAGATTTTGGCGTGGGATTTTGTGATGTAGTTAAGTACAATGACATTGCATGTTCACAACCATCATTGATCATCCTACTTTTCAACGAGTACTACACAGGTTATATTAATATTTGTACACTAATAAATTTAAAACAATTATATTTTATTGTAAAATCATGTATATGGATATATACAACATTAATAATATATATCTAACAAAGTGATACTAAATTTGAAATGACACCCTTATTTTTACACTAAATTTATAAAAATGATGTAATTGTAATTATATTCTAAAAATTATATATTTCTAAAATAGATATTATTTACAATTTCATATATTTAGTTCGATTTATTTTTGAAACAAAATTAGTTTTATTGTATTGTGATTATATTTTATTTTTATAGAGTCAATGTATCTCATTTATAATTTTTTTAAGTATTTTATAGTTAATATATTTTAATAATTGAGAATACTAATTTACGAAAAAATGTATTATTTTCTAAATCTAGGAAATGTATAAGTGTTTTATTATATTTAATTGTTATATTTTTTTACATTTATTATTTTAAACAACATAATAACGTTCAGTTCCTTGTATGATCTATTTAAATTGAGAAATATTATTTTATAACATTTCTTATAATTATTTATGTAATTCTTAATTTTTTTATATTTGTTTTCCACACAATATCTACAATGTTGTGTCAGGAATCATGATGGTAAATAATTTTATAAGCTATTAGGTGTTTGGAAAACTGGAATTCACATTGTGGAAGGGGCTTGGAGCCTTGGAAGGACTTGTTTTTGTATAGAGTTTGTGTTGGTAACTTGGTATTAATGTACTTGGTTAGAGAAGTTTTAACACTGCCTGGAATAAAATGACTAAAATATGATGGAAAAATTAGAGATTTCGTCATGTAAGTGGCACTTATTTGAGGACTGGTCCTCCCAGATACTCACTTTTGGATCATGTCTCGTAAGTGCAAAAAAACTGAAATTTAGTCCTGACACCGGTAATGCAGGTCATTTTTACCGGCTACGTGAAATTTTATCTTTTTTTTTTTTTTTTTTTTTTTTTTTTTTTTTTTAATGGAGAGGAGAGGGTTCGAACCCGAGGTGATAGGCCTTGCAAGGGGCTTATGAACCACTTGACCTATGAAGAATTAGTGTTAAAATTTGACTTCGACTATACATCTATCAAGAACGTTTTATCAGAAAACAATATATATATATATATTAAATACATACTACTTTTAATTATAAAACTAATACATAATTTATTTATATTAATTATAAAATAAAAATATTTAAATGAAATAAATAAATATATAAACTATTATATATTTAATTACCTTGTTTAATTAAAATTTTATTATCACTAATGTTGTTTTATATACTAATTTATATTTTTAAGTTTTCATTGATTTTTTATATATTTAATAAAAATATACTAAATAAATAAATATATCAAATAACATAATAAAAAAATATAATAGATAATACTACTTTACTTTAACATATTTAAATATATATAATATATATTAAAAAATATATTTAATATTTAAATATATATATTAAAAACTATATTTAATATATATAATAGTAAATATATTAAATAACTAAATAAATATAATAAAGGTTGTTGATATTGAATTAGTATATAATAAATAAATAATTACCAAATTTTTTGTTTAATTAGTAATTTACTAATTATATATTTAATATATTTAATTCAATATAATTTGTTTATTAAACTAATATTTACTAAATAAATAAACATATTAAATAATTTATAATTTATTTTAAATTATTTAAATAAAAATAATATTAATTAATTAATTTATTAATATAATAAGTGAGAAAATAAAATAATATTATTCAATATATTTATATATTAATATACATGTTTAAAAAATTATATAATACATTTATTTATTTAGTAAATATTTGATTAATATAAAAATAATAAATATATATTATTTAATAAATTATGTATAATGTTATAATTAGAAGTAGTATAAATTGAATAATATATATATTAACAAAAATAATACTATATTATTAATATATTCTTGTATTCATATAATAAATAAAAAATAAAATTATATCATTGAATATATTTGTTTATTAATTTATATTAAATAAATTAGTTAATATATTAATTTAGTAAATATTATTTAATTACTAATAAATTAATGATACATTATATATTTAATAATTATTTAATAAATTATGTATTTGTTTTAATAATTATTTAATATATTAGGTATTAGTTTTAATATTTATTTAATATATTATGTATTAATTTTAATATTTATTTAATATATTCTTTATTAGTTTTAATAATTATTTGTATATATATATATATATATATTGTATTTTGATAAAACGTTCTTTATAGTTATATATTTGAAGTCAAATTTAACCCTAGTTCTTCTTAGGTCAAGTGGCTCATAAGCCCATTGCAAGGCCCATCACCCCGGGTTCGAACCATCTCAAAACTTTCCAAAGTATGATACAGTTAAGCAAATCATGAACAGTGTCTAACCCTACTATTTCCTATACTAGTAGATATCCTGTGAACATGCACAGATGTACATAAAATATTAATAAGTAATATTTGAGAATTTAATATTAAAATTCTAGATAATTAACATATTACATTTTCAAAAATTTGATCATTAGGAAAAATAGATTAAAGATTTTATATTAAATAGGTAAAATTAAATGCTAAGCTAGAAATTATATATATTATTATTATTAAAATATAATTGTTTATAAGATTCTAAAATTGTTTAACTATGCTATTAAAACAATTTACTAATTGTTTTTAAAGAAATATTTTTATGAGATACAAAAGAAAAAGATAATATTGATGTTAAAATACATAACTTGAAAGAATTGTTTATAATTATGTAATTTATATTTATGGTGAATTACTATTAGTTGGTATTAGCAATAACTATTATATAATATAATAGAAACATACATAATTACACTCATTAAGATGTATTAATGTGAAAAGTAAAAAATATTAATGATAAATTTTGTAACCGAAAATGGAGGAAAAATTTTAGAGGTTTTATTAAATGTTTTATTAAATGCTACTTGCCAGCAATTATATATATATAGATTATATATGGTTTGAATATGCAACATGACAACTAAGTAGGAAAAATGTGCATTTGGTCATTAAGTCAAGCACTCAATGCCTAAGAATTGGCTTTCCGACGAAAGCTGCATATACTTTACTTTACTCATGGAGTCAAAAGAAATAAATATGCCACGATTAAGTCCTATTATCCCTATACTATACTCGCACCATGCATTCAAATCTACATTTCATACCAAAGACTAAAAGTAAGACAACTACAAAATTACCAAGCCATTCAACAAAGAAAAGTCTACACCAAAAAGATCAAGTCATTGTTCAAAGAGAAGTCTACACCGAAAGAGAAGTCTACAGACTTACATACGTTTCAAAATCACTTACAAACTCACCAAAAATAGTAGCAAAAAAAGTTGTTCATGTCAACACCACGACAAATTTCTACCATCGTACTACTAAATACATGTACGACTGATTTTAGTTTTTCCAATACTAAGGACATTGTCATTCTATTTTGATGAAGAAAGCTATGGAGTCTTTTGGAATGAGTGTGAAGGTGCAAGTACGCCCTACTCCAATGTCATTGTCTGTTAAAAATCAACACCGACAGAAGCTTCTAGGGACCACTTAATGACATTCAAGAAAATGTTATTAAAAAGCTAGTTGATGTAGTTCTAGGATTTGTAGGTCGGTGAATGTAACCTACATTAGCGCTTATAAGTAAGCGAGATACTCATTTCATTAAAGCGAGCAGAGAGTGGTGAGCGTCGAGACTAATTAATTTAAAGTGCAGTGAGGTCTGGCATAGTTTTTAAAAACAATTAGTAAAAATAGGGTAATCTAGGCCCAAGCTTAGTAAATTATTTCAGCCCATAGCACACAAAAAAAAAAAAAAAAAAAAAAAAAAAAAACTCTTTTCTCGCCCAAATAAATCGAGCAGAGCCCATTCTTCTTCTTCGTTGAAATCTTGCCCTAATCTCAGGGAAGCAGAGTCGTATTCACGACTGTAATCCTTGATCTCAGCCCGTCCTTCCATCCTTCATCCCGTCTCACTTCGTCGGTAATCTCGCAGCGGCCTTTTCCCGTCCCATCGCTAGCCACCGATCGTCCGTCGGAGAAGAGAATTCAGCCGAGGAGGAGTCGGCAAACAACAAGAATCCTTGTCGCCTTCAGCCATCACCGGCGACCTGTCTCAGCCGAGAGCACCGCCGGAGTAGAGAACTTCACCCCTCTGTACGCCGTCGCGGGCAGACAACTCGGCCAAGGAGCAGCAGCCCTGCGTCGAGCAGCCGTTCGAGATCCCCGTTCACGTCGAAAGCCACATCTCAGCCCGAAATACCACTATCTTCATCAGTCGTCGAATGAGCAGAGCAGTGACGGACGTCCTCAATTTTCGCCGCGGTGAGTAGCAGACCTCACGTCCTGCCGGAGAAGAGAACCCC